CTTGGAAATTTGTGAATAGAGTTTAACAACGCCCATGCATGATGGCACCGGCGTCCGTTCCGCTATTGACACCGACTCTGACATTCGCCAATCGCTTCTGCGTGACTTATGACCGGTGAAAGCACAGTAATACTACGCATGTTATGCAGTTTTGCAATAACTGCCCACCGGCTCCCGCTCGCTTTTTTTTTATAATTGTTATTTATTACACGCATATTTTTCAGATGTGAATTTCTGATAATAAATAATTACAAAAAGGTCATCGAGCTCGTAAAGCCTCTCGCTGTGAAATATCGTTAATGCCTTTTGACACTTAAAAGTAGTGACTTGTACGGTGCCTGCCTGTCATCTTCTTTTATCTACCATGTTTTCGATGGGATTATTTAACTTTCCGCACAGTTTATAATTAACTTACTTTCGTCGTTGCGTAAGTTTATAATATTTTACAAGTTATTTCTATATATTTAGATCAACGACGATTAAGTAGATACTTTATAAAACCGGCCAAGGAGCGTGTTGGTGCATATTATTAGAGATTTGTTACGTAGAATTTTTAATATATTAAATATATCACTATAGAAATACTATGTATCAAAAATGTTTATCAAGGATTTGTGCTATTTTAAATGATCTCAATACAAATGCTGTCCTATTAGCCTACTGTATGGAGATTTTTATAATGAGAACGATGTGTTGGTTCCTCCTTATAAAAAATTGAGGGCATACTAATAATGTATACATTTATACATTCTTTATTGCACTTCTAAATTATACAGATCAATACTGTGAGTAAGGGTGGACTTATCTCTGAAAGTAATATTTTCCAGATAATCCAATATAAAATGCAACGAAATATAATACATACAAAATACGATACGATCGAGGGAAAGAAAATATACTTTCAACATTTTTAATTATATATATATATATATATATATATATATATATATATATATAATTAAATTTATTAAATATGTACCGTTACTATATAAGTACAAAATTTTTGCAATGATACTTAATTTTTGTGGGATATTTACTAATTTGACTATTATGCTTCTATTAATGTTATCTATTTAATGTTAAACAAAAGTAGCTAATTGATAACTGAAACATGACGATAACGTGAGAATCCGTTTGTCTGAAAGATATCTTCAATGCTGAATAATATTCCGACTCACATACTCTTTCTTATCTATTTCTCATACTTAGTGGACAGAATAAAGTTTTTATGCTTGAGAAAAAATAGTGCATATTCATTTAATTAGTATAGGAAAATAAATATATATTGTAACAAATTAAAGGATTTCTGTAGATATACTGTTATATTAAATTAGCGTTAACCGTCCCGGTTTCGCGCGGGTAGATAGAAAGATATTTTTTTATAATAGTTTTATAAAATAATAGGCAATTTTTTGATACCTTGGGCTACAATATTTTAATTTTTGCAGGATCTTTATTTTTTTTTAAATTATGAACAGCCTATGTAACTAGCTGATAATGTAGCATTGTATAGGTAAAAGAATTTTTATAATCGGTTGAGTAGCTTTTGAATTTACCCGTTACAAACAAATAAAATATCACTTAAATTTTAATAATCTTTATAATATTAGTATAGATAAATAAAACAGAAATTAAAAAACATATATCAGTGCAGCAAGGCGACCTTATTGATGAATACAATTTATTCAAGACAATAAAATACCATTGAATCAGTAGCTCAACTTAGAAGAGCACCGGCTCCGATGTGACGTAGCGTTGAAAGTACGGGTTCAAATCCACTTTGAATTTTTTCAATCTCTTAATAATAATAATTGGGATATTATTCCATATTTTCATAATTATAATATTCCTATTAACCATTGTATTTTGAAAGCTAAAATTAAAAATTATGTTTTCGAATTTTTTTTTTATAACATAGGGGCAAACCTGCCTGTAAGCATCCGCAACATTAGAAAAATTGCAGGTGTTTTACCGGCCATTAATATAATAATACCTAATTTAATATAAGTATAATTGCATTTTTACGAAGTTATTACGAAGTGTTATCGTTATAAAAAAAATTATACAATAAAATATTAACAAACATACAAACATCAACTCAAAAATAGTGGATCTTTTTCTAATTTGTAGTTTTTGTTTGAGACTTCGTCTGCGTGACCAAAATTATATTGATTAATTAAGACAAAAGGTAAGCTACGTTCTTCTACCTATGAAGATTGACTGAACTTTTAAGGTGTTATGAGACTGATCATGTGAGACTGTGTTGTAAACAAAAATTACATGTTTGTAATAAGTAAAGTCACTTCCACGTTTATTGCATTAGTAAGGATTTATAATTCTTAATGTACAGGTACTTCAAATTTTATTAAGTTAACTATTATAGGTATATAGATATAAATTTATCACCAGCTTTTTCTGCGTAATAAAAACGTGCATTATGCGAAAATGTCCGTTATCTAACTAATAAATAGCCGGAACTGCTGTGACCAATCTACGATGGTGTCCGGTACCGGCCACATTGTTATTTTATCATTTGATGCTGATTTACGGAAACCGCATGAATGATATTCGTCATAAAAATAACGCTATACTCAATGGTTCTTAGGGACCATTAAATTAAATTGATTTTATCACGAATATAAACAATTAGACTCTGAAGAATATGGACGCTCTTCATTACACTGCGAAAGATATTTTGAGATTGTGTTGTATGAGTACAGAAATTGAAATTTCTGTTGAAATTACAAAACACTGCATTTTAGCAAATGATATCCACTAGGTATATATTATAGAAAAAAATATTGTAGAAATAATTTTTTTTTTGAGACCTAAAACAATGGTTTCCTGGGGCAACCGCATGAATCTCGGTTTAATAGGGTATATTGTTGTAACCCCAATACTAATAATCCCTTTCCCCTCTCGATCGAAGTTGGACTTATTTAGTCGGTTATATCGTCCGAGGTAAACATACACGTCAACAACTTCGAGCGTAATATTCTCAAACGTTACCGGTACAAGTGTGACATGAACGTTAGACATGATTTAAGTCTTGTCCATGTTCTTCTTAAGACCTACCTGTGGAGAAGCACTACTTTTTTACTTAAGTACTTGATTACTTAATTTCTTAATTTGCAAATGCAGTTGTATTAGAAATTCAGATAAATAAACGTGTTATGACCACATATGCAAAATCATTATAAAAATGGGTCCCATCTACACGCACAAATAGACAAAGGTTACTAAATAACAACTGATTAATTATTTAATGTTATATTGATATATAGCGTGTAAAGTAGCCGATTACGATATGCACAAGGTTACTAGCCACGCATATTTACACATTTTCACTTTAAAAATAAACTGGTAACAATTGTAATGAATGGAATTTTTTAGTTAAAATATGATGACAGTTGGTAAACATATATATGTTGTAACATTAATGTGCTAAAATTTATTCAAATTCGTTCAGATTTTAAGCGTGATTGAGTAACAAACATCTAAATTTTTTACCATAATTTCATATTACACTACTAAATTGCCGTGTGTGCCCTAGCATAGAATGGGCTACCCCTTCCTTTCCCATGGCTGTCATAAGAGGCGACTAACGGAGAGTAAGGGATGGACAACAGCGTCCCTCTTATAACATCCTCAAAGGCCTAACTGCGGTTGCCAACACACCTGCCAAGTGTAGCAACTACTGGCAAAACTCTACTTATAGGGAAGGTTTTTGTCTATCAATAGACAGTTAACGGCTGAAATAATAGTAATAATCACTATTAACAGCATCCCTCGACTCTACTTGCGTAAACCCGGATAAAAGTATACAGTTAATTCAATAGAATGTATTCCAACTTTTATTAAAATACATTCAGTTATTTAAATATTTTTTTAATGTTAACCAACCCACTAATTACATTTTTTCATTATAATTCAAAATTTATTAGAAATCTGAATAAAATTCGCATTTGAATGCATATATAAAATAGTGGAATATTGGAAACTCGCTAATACTACCTGTACGTTCACATTTCATACATTAGTGGATGATACTTAGCGTTGTGTAATCAAAGCCATAAGAAAACATTCATTGTTCCACATTACACGAACAATGTAACTGTAGACACCTAAAAACAGGATCGTGGAAACATGGAAGTAGGTGCCGCTATTATAATCACGAACTGCGGTCGCTACTGATGAAGTGAATTTAGCTACAACCTACTGACTTACAGTTACTTAAGATTCAGTATTGATTTTTTAACTCTGTCTTCATTTATTTATTTTACACACATTTATTTATTTTACTACAATACAATTAAACAATTTTATTTATAAATCTCTGTTTTTTTTTTTTAATACAATTTAGATCGTCATCATTATCGTTTTATCAATTATTAACTGTCCACTGCTGAACATAGGCCTTCCCTTATTGGGAAGTTTTACCAGAAGTTGCTACACTTATCAGGCGGGTTGACAACGACCTTTTAATATTTTTTTTTATACAGCTTAAAATGGAAAACAAGCTGACGGCCCACCTGATGGAAAGTGGTAACCACCGCATATATAGACATGAGCAGTACCATGGACATTACAGAATATACTGTTTCGCCCATGATACCCCCCATGCGTTGCCATTCTTGAGGACTCAGGTGTTATTACTCCGTACCCAGTAAATTCACGCTATATCCCACCCTTCAAACCGAAACACAGCCATGTAAACACAACTGCTTTACGATTGAAACACGAATGGGACAGAGGTACCCAAGCAATCGACTTTTGTACAAAGTCTCCCTCTGTTTCCCAACGTGTCATTATATTACCTGTCTATTAATAATATTTTCCGCCAGGATGACAGCGATGATATCCTCAGGTCATCAACGACCTCAGTAAAATACTTTGTAACACCCATATTGATAACAATTCCATAGAAATTAATTTTTTAATTAGATATATTTAGTTAGCATGTAATATCAAATATTTGAGAGACTATTTCTTTTTTTCAGGTGTCGGTGTTAGTTTTCGTCGCTCTTGTTACACTAGGAATGGCGCAGGACACCACGACCGATGCTTTTAACGATAAACTTAATGCCATCGATTCGAAACCTTCAGTGCGATTAGATCCATATATTCGGAAAGCTTTGCTGAAAGCATTGAGCGAACTTGAAGACAGCGATAACACAACTACAGATGACGATATTATAGATAATTCTACTATCGATTCAGAACTTTTAAAAAGCGGAGAGGAACCTTCGCATACCTTACAACCACCTTTAGTCAATGAAGAGATTAAAATACATTCCTTTTTGGTTGACGGACAGCAAGCTTTTGCAGGCAAAATCAACACAACACCAACATTTATCGATAAAAAAATATCGATTTTGAGTACTACCTCAGGTAATGTCGAAAATTACGTGACGGCTACGCTTCCAACTCAAACTCCTTTTAAAGAAATCTTTCAAACAAAAGAATCTGGTATAAACCTTCAACAGGTTAGAAGTATTCAAAGCACTTCTCAGTCTAGTACGAAAAATAATATAAGTAAAGAAACTACTTTCAAACCTACATCAACTACAACTACTACCACAACAACTACTACAACGACTACTACAACTCCAAAACCAACACATAACGAAGATGGCGAAAATATAGAAGAAGTTGATAAACGTGATGTTCAAGTATTTCAGGCTCCTTTACTAGCAGCTTTTACAGTTCACCAAGATGCACATGGTTTACCAAAAAAAGTTATACCAATTTATCAGCAATCGAATATACAAGAACCATTGAAACCACAACCCGCCACAAATATACCGACAGGAGTTTTACCTCCACAAAATAATTTTGCCGTTTCTAGTGTAAATTTAAACCAAATTCCACAAAATGATTTCGTAAGCCAACAACTAGCACTACAAAAGCAATTAGAAGAAAAACAAAGGATCTTAGAGGAACAACTTCGAGTATTACTGCTTCAACAAAGACAACAAGAGGAACTATTACGAAAACAACAACTTCTTTTACAACAAAAAGATGCTCAACGTCAACAACAAATTTTATTTGAACAAGAACAGCTAAAAAGACAGCAACTTCATTCGGATCAACAAAAAGTGCAAATTGTACCAAGCTTGAGTAATATACACGTACAAGGATTACCGAAGCCAGTTCAGCAAAATTCGTTTATAAATCAAAATAACCAAGTACGGCCAACACAAAATGCACAAGTATCTATTCAACCCAGTGTACCAATAGAACATCAAAATATAGTCGGCAATCAACAACAGTTGCCTAATCGTGAAGCGGTTGACTTTTTATTGCACTTACGCAATCAGCAACCCGAGCAGTTTCCATTACAGGAAAATCATTTACCACAAGGCATAAGTAATTTTTTGCAGCCTAATCCTGTTAATTTTCACCAAGGGCTTAATTTTAATCAATTAAGAGGATTCGATCAAGTTAGCCAAGCAAAACAGAGTAATCGTGTATTTCGTCAAGAAAGCGGTGTTAGTAATTTAGGATTAAATAATAATAATAATCAAAATTATAACAGATTTAATACATTTACTCCAATACACACAAACCATTTCTTTAATAGACCAAATCAATTTAGCCCTGATGCGGAATTACACCAATTATTAGCTCAAACAGGATTAAATTCGAGGAGTCACGAGGATTTAAATATAGTATCTAAAGTATTATCTTTAAATCATGGTATACCTCTAAATAATAACATTTCGAATAGACTGCCCTTCGATAGCAGAAGACAAATAAGAACACAAGTGTAAATTTCTAAAGGCCGTTTTTAATAATATACACTGATAACTGACAGGCTATATAGACTGTAACTACCTAATTAATTTTTTCTATGCTCAAAGTACATTAACAACAGTTTGTCAGTTATCGATTTGGAGAGGTACAATTTGAATACTTATCCATAAATTATTGAGACGCTTTTGTCATTTTGAAACATTAACCATAGCCTTATCAATAACGGCCACAAATAACTCCTCAGTATCATAACTCTCCTCTATAAACCCATTTAAAAATTTTGTCATATTAATTGAACAAAAGGAATCCACACTAAAATTATTATGACTACCAGAACGAGAACAAGTTTAAATGTACAATTCAAAACAGTAATCTAAATGTAAGTAAGAACAGGTAATTAAAAACTATAAGTAGTAATAGCTACGACATAGTAAAAACATTACAATAAACTGTAAACTGTGTCGTTAATCAAAGGAACAAGCAAAAGTAGTATTTGTTTCTACTTTTCAGCGTCTTACAGAAATAAAAAAAGAGAGAAAGAGTTATGAAAAAAGGAGAGCTAGAACCTATTTATTGAATAAGTAGACTTTATTTCAATATTCAGGTAGATATTAATGCCTGCTTTGCCTACCTTATAATACAAGATGATTCATGGATGATTTTCATTGTATCTGCGTCTCATCTTACACTCCAAGTCAGTAACAATAGACATGTTAATAACCAAAGAAATGTGGTAACGTCGTGTCACCCTATATAATCAACTACGAGTATCGTTCATCTTAAATATTGTTTCTTTAACTTGCGTTAGACATAAATAATTATTTATTTTAACTATAATGATTGTGAACTGCCATAAGTAATAAATTTTAGAAGACCCAACTATTTTTAAGATCTATAGTAAGTAGTCGGATACATATCTACTTACAAGTCCATTGACTTGGGACGTATTCTAAAATATTTGGAATTATCTCAAACAAGAATTTTATATTATAGAAAAACATACTTAATCTAATCTATAGGAATACAAAATGATATTCTATTGAAGATATTTAATTTTAGAGATAGGTTTAAAAAGTGACATTCCATAATTTTAGAATCGATCCCAACGTCCTTGACGATAAGTTTATATTGAAGGTACAATTATTGTGACAGTAGTCTAATTATGGTTACTCATATTCTACATATTTTGGTAATACTTACAGTATTAACACATCAGTTTCAACAAAAGGATAAATCAATAATAATTTATCCACGAAATACTCAACTTTATAGATTATGAAATCAAAGATATTACAAGCAACAAAATTCTGTAAATTCTTTATATATAATTACTTGTTGGGTTGTATGTACTTATATGTAGATTTAGTTTTAGTAGGTGCATATGTGAATAGAAATGTCGAGATGTGGATACCTAAACACTGCAAAAGGTGCTGGTTTGAAGACTAATTTAAAAAATATGTAATATGACAAAAAACTAATTTTCATATTGATCCACCACTACAATAAAATTATGATTTCCTTTATTTTATAAAAGATTATTTAATATCCTATTTAAAATACCTAATGTATCTTTATCTGTCACTTCACATATGTAGTTATCTACACTTTTTTTTCGATGGATGTTAGAGGAATGGCGCCTGCGCTAACAATATACGCTGACGGGGCACCAATGAGGGATAATAAGTGGGAATGAAAGGGCAGGTCAGTTAGCCCATCGTGATGAATACACCTGGAATTCAGCACGTTGGTTTCAAGGGGGACCACGTGTAGGTCGACCTGATAGGGTATATTGCTGGCAGTGGGATTTATAGTCCACATTACTAATAATCCCCCCCCCCAGTACCTACACTTTGGTATTAGTTACCTGATTTTTAATTTCAATATGGAAAATAAAACAGTAATTTCGCGGAATTATGAAATTAAAATATTAGTTTATGACATAAGTTTATAGAAATGGTTCCTCAGAATTGGCTTCAATGACTTTCAGAATAAGAGGCTCTTTGTGGTTTAAGAAAAAAATATGGTGGATCAACTCAGATGAATTACACAAAACTTACTACCTACTATTACCTACCTGTTTTTGTATCAATCCCTATCAACTGAACAAACATCTAAATTAAGATTGCCTATCCACCTAGATGGGTACCTATATGTAGATATCATCACAACTATTGTCTTAGTTATTTTTATGTTTTCACTATGTTACTCAAGAACAAATTCGAATAAATTATCATTAACCATTTACACTACATTATCATTAATGAAATTAAATGTCACAATAAAATATTCAACCTAGGTACGACATTTAATCAATTAGTCAAGATACGAGTTAAGTGTACGCGCTTCAACAGGAACTTAAATATCTAGTGTTAAAAAGTACCTATTATTAGTAGTAGATAATATGAACATTAATATTATATTGAAAACCTATGTATCCAATGTAGGTAATTACGAAATTTCACAGTCCTAAACTGTTAAGTCATATTTCATGTACCTATTTTAAGTTTGTAAATAAATATATTATGTAATATAAAAATTATTTATTTATTTATCCTTTAGATATGCTTAGATGACGTGTGATATTAATAATATATTCATAAATATTTAAAGAGCTTCGTTAATTGTAAACGCTACTCCTACCAACCTAAAACCAGTGGGGGGAAAGGGATTATTAATAACGGGGTCAAACAGCCCTATTACTAGCAATATACCCTGTCAGGTCAACCTCCACGTGGTTCTCCCTGGAAACCATCGTGACTAATTCTAGTTTAATTCGTCAGGATGGGCTAATTGACCTACTTTCATTTTCATCTGTCATCCCTCACCGGTGCCCCACCAGTGTATACCAATAGCGCAGACGGGGTTACCATACTGTTATCACCCATTAAAAAAAAATCCTAAGACCAGTTATAACATTCATAATCCTTCTAATTTTACGCGTAGGTAAATACGAGTATAAAAGTTTGTAAATATGTTTGAATGTTATGATGTTTGTATGTTTGTTAATCATTTATTAATTAAGCTTACACGGCTAAACGGATTTTAATAAAATTTGATACGGGTAAGTATAAGACATAGAATATTTTATATATTGATTCAATCGACTAAAGACGCAAGAAAAAGTTGGTGCGAAATAAATATAAGTATCTACCACAGCTAATTCCTTTTATTTACATGACTCATAAGTATTATTACGAGTATGCTAGTAATACCTGTATCGTATGATAGAGCGTTAATTATCAGATTATTAAGGGTAAGGAGTTTATTAATTAGATCCACCTCAGCTTACCTGATATCTCTGGGAAAATTTTTAATAGCATTTCCCGCCTCTCTCAAAACAGTCTCTTTTGGCAGCACAGTCATTGTTTTTAAAGTACCAAGATCGATTTTGATGTGCCCTTTTATTAACATGTGGCTCCAGTGGCGCCCTCCTTAAATCTTGAATTATGGGCGCCGCCAGTGGCAGTGAACCATATAATTTACAGTTTTTATTTTATCATTTATTTTATGTAATTCCTTGTTATTAGGTGTATTCATTCGACCACTAATGTCATCGACTACCAATGTCGTTTGAATTCGAGCACAGTAACAGCTTCGTTTAGAGAAATGCCAGTGATAAACATTTGTCAACAATCAATGCATTAATTGAATTCGGCATTATGTTTATTTTGACAAAACTTGTAAATGAATATCTACAAACACCTAGAATATTATTATAGTATTGTCCGACTGTTTTTTTTTTTTTTGTTGTGAACTCCATGTTTGCTTGCTATAATCTACATAAACATTTGCTACAATAAAAATAAATATTTTGACATTTTTTTTCTATTGACTGTCATTACATTGTTTTTTATTTATTCTTATTATTTTATTACACAGTATTTCAAGTAACCTGCAAATTAATACAGATAAACTATTCATTACAAAAACTATATAATGAGGTCGATTCTAAAGGACTATTCAATAAAATTATTGTTTTAATTTGATGGTTTTGTCATAATATTATTTTTTAGACCACCATAACCTAAATTTATAATTATTTTGGCTTAAACCTATTAGAAATTTAATTAATATTGATTCCTAGAATAAAGATTTCGCTGTGTGTGTGATATGATAGGTATATCAAAATAAAATTTTAATTTTAGAGATAACGGCGCTTTAGAATCTCCCTTATTATTCCTCCGTATACAAAATCGGCATAGGAAAGCATTATAAAAATTGACTTCACTCGGAATATAAAACTCGAGTGATCAAAATTTTCGAATAAAAATAAAACATGTGTATTCATTTTCTCAAAAAACTCTATCTATAGTGTCAAAGTTTCAAATTCCATTTATTGGTTGTATAGATTAATACAAAGTTTTTTATTCGTAGTGCAGCAGATCTCGTGGTCATTGACGTGCATAACCACAGAGGACTTTCATTTCAGTGATTGACATATATGAATACCTAGTCTCTCTAATAAACACTCTAATTTTACATATGTTTATACCATTTCCCTTTTTATTTTTCATTTGTTATTTCTTAAAATTTCTGAATAATTCGTATATTTTCCAAAAGTGAAAGATTTAAATACTAATACTCTCCCTTATAACTTGTAACTTAATTTAAAATGGTAATTATGGACAACATGGATGGTATTGGTAATTTGGAGGAACAGGCACTGAAAAGGAAAGAAAGGCTAAAAAACCTCAAACGAAAATTGCCAGGCGATAATAATTCTACAAATGATACTACTAATGAAATAGCTGTACCACTTCCAAAGTAAGTAAAAAGTTAATAAATTTTACAAATACATGCAATATAGGTTATGTTTAGCATTTACTTTATTGTTTGTTAATTTATTATTATAATAACGTCGTTTCTATAAGTTTTGAAAACAAGTTACGGTGGCCATTTGTGTATCATCTTAATTGAATAAAAAATCCATCCTTAAGGGTACCACCCACTTCTGAAATTTTTAACAAAAAGTACAAAATTTGATCAAATTAATTACTCCAGCCAATAATGTCAAAAAAACACTTATTCGAGCTTAAAATACTCCAGGAATACATTTGCAGTAGCATATGGTTTAAAAGAATCAAATTACTCCCGCAGGACTCTAGAGATGTTATGTACATATATAATATAATAGTATAATAGTTTTAATGTATTTAACATTCATATAAACCTATGTGGTTTCTGAATGCTAATGTAATTCTGTATTTTTGTGACAATAAATAAATAAAATATCCTGCTTAAAGGACCAGAAAAACAGAACCAACCACAAAATGAGTATGTTTTGTGCATACTATTGTATGATTTATTTCCTGTAGCTTTGCCAATATGAATCAGTACATAAAGTATACAAAACAGTAACAAGCATCTACCTTTATAAACTTTTACATTTATAATATTAACAGGTTATGAGTGACATTATAAAAAGTAAAAATATGTAAAAAATAAGTACATAATATGAAACTAACACAAATAAGTATCATCATCATAACAGCCGTTAACTGTCCACTGCTGAACACCGGCCTCCCCCTTAGGATGAGATTTAGTAGTTAGTACTATATACTGGGACCACACAGTAATACAAATAAATATATGATACATTTAATAACATTTTCATTTCCAGACCTAAGTTTCGTAGTTACAAACCACAAGATGAGACTTTGCAAGAATCTAAACTTGAAGATGCTCAACCTACTGATGTTGAAGACGAAGTTAAAGACTTATTAGAAGCTGGCAAGGAAAAGGTACAAAAAAAGGAACATGTATTTTTTAATTTCCAGTTTTGTATATTGTTTACAAATAACAACATTATCAATTTACAAATGCTTCACATTTTGTAAATTGAAAGTTATAAAATACATGTCAACCTCTGTCCTAAGAGATAATATAGAGAGAGAAATAGAGCATAGGGTGTTGTCTGTAAGAGCCAACATGACTGTTCACAGATTTTCATATTGTTCAAGGGAGATTAAAATCACTCTTTTTAGAGCAAAATGCTCTATGTAAGTCTTTTTAGAAGAGCTTGTGGGCTTTTTACACTCAGAAACAGTACAGCGCCCTATGAGTCAAGTACAATAATACATTTAAGGTGCTGTTGGGAATGTCTCGGTTTTGTAGTGCATTGGGAATGTTCACCGAAGTGCATGTTGATGGTTTCTACACTACTATGTAAAAATGCTGAACATCTCTGATATCTCTAACCTTATCCTAAGGGTAATTGCAGACCATCCAGATCGCCAGCATTTGAATCATTGTAGAATGATTCCCATGGTAACTAATATATAAAGAAAAGTGGGTTAGGTCATTGTGGTTGTTTGTTTTTTTTTGTATTAATCTGTTTAATATTGTAATATAATTGCAATAATTTGTATAAAAATTGTGTAAGTCTTAGTAACCTGATTAAAGAATTTATTATTATAAATTCATACATACCTCTGTCTCATTCATGTTTCTATTGTGAAGCTCCACAAATTAAAATGAAAAATTTTATTATAGATATCATCTCTCTTTAACTAGAAGCAGATATTTGTTGAAAAGTTATTAAATATTTATTTTATGTTTTTCCATTTCCAGGTAGTTTTACAAGACTTGGACATATCTAGTTTAGCTCCAAGAAAACCAGATTGGGATCTGAAAAGAGATGTTGCTAAGAAACTTGAAAAACTTGAGAGAAGAACACAAAAGGCGATTGCTGAACTTATATGGGAAAGGCTAAAACAAGGCTCTGAAGATAATTTGGGGGCTGTCATAACAATGACTAATATCAAGCCCACAGAAGATGACTGATGAATTAATGTGATAGTACAGTGAGAGTAAGTTCTTTTTATTTATTTTTTTTACATTTACTGATTGAAAATCTATATATTTTATAATATATATATTTTCAATCAAATATATACATATACTGAAAATTCACTGCTATGCCACTGTGTTAGGTTGACTGGAAGAAATCTTTTTTAGAGATAAATTCTCCTTTGCTAACATTGTTATTAACTTATTGTAGTTACTGTATATTTTAGTGCAATAAAGAATATATAAAATATATTTCAGCATATATGATCTTATCTTATTTTTCGCATATTGGGTCAGCTAAGCCGATGCATGTCAACCCATATGGATCTTTTGTGCTTCTCCCTGTCTTATACCATAATTTCATAGATCCTATGTGTTACCCTAACAATATCCCGCAGTTTAAGATATCTGTAGACCCCTGGTTCTGGAAAAGCCGTTCCCAGTAGCCTCATACGCATACTTGCCAACGAATTGCAGTTCCACATCAAGTGTTCCATGGATTCCAATTTCTCTCTGCACAGTCTGCACAGTGTGTCCGAAGATAGACCCATCTTGTGTAGTATATGCCTTATTGGCATATGTCCAGTTAGGGCACCCATAATGAGTCTTGCCTGTTGTCTGCCACTGCTGTAGATAAGTTTATCCCATCCCTCAACATTGTCATTTAAGAACTTTTTAGAATATCTTAGACCCTTCAAAGTCCTCCATTCCTTTTGCTGTTTTTTCCTCACATACTCCTCAAGGGCAGAGTTAACAACACTTGATGCAAGTGCAACGTATGGTTCAGGACCTACCATTTTTAATTCTGATCCCTTTCTCGCCAACTCATCGGCCTTTTCATTACCTTTAATCCCTTTATGTTCAGGGACCCAAACCAAACTAACCCTATTATGCCTACCCAAATTATGCATATACTACTATATGTACTAATCATATATGCTACAATAATTTGGTTCTATTAGTACATTTTAATATTCAAATCAAAAATAATATTTAGGCAATCGACTTGCCAGCAGCTCCAACTGAACAATCACTAATAGAATATATTATTAATAACTAAATCTATGTAATTGAGTTATTTAGTTCTATTATTGACACAACACACTATATTTTTTTTTTTTGTTATTACACTGAAGGAATAAGAAATAAAAGATGATCCAAAATTGTATTGCTAAACTCATATTTATTTATATCACAGGACATCACCATAACTCCTTAGGTTCTTGAAATATACTCAGTCTGTATTATGGATATACAATTCCAATTTTAACTATAACACTTGCTATAATTATTCTACAATTGTCATTTTTTTTATCAGTTTTTGTGTATTTTGACACATTACATTTATGTTTGTGCTTATAGAAGAAATTATTAAACTATCTTAAATAACTTATATGGTCATTAATTGCTGTGATACAATTTTAACTGTTATATTTTAAAAATTAATTATTGCTTTATTATTCGTCTTTTAAATAGTTTATATTGTTACCAGAAATAAATGTTATAAACAATTAATGCAACTGCGTTCTAATTAACCTTTTAATTGCTCCAACCGGATTTATCCAATAGAAAACCTGTATTTGTATGTTTGTTTTTTTTTCTCGTTTAACTGCCTACTACATTAACATAGTAACATAGAATATAAAACAAATGTTTACAAAATACTTGTTATAATTCAGATTATACCTCAGGGTAATAAAAAAAATACATAATAAAGTTGTAAGAGATAGAAAAATGTTAATAGCCCTATTAAAATTTAAAATACTAAATAGTTGTTTATTAGCATATCACACCGAAGTATGGAATTGACTATCATTCATTACATTGAAATATGATTCAAAATACGTAGTGTCTATTTAAAAGACAAGCTTATTTACTATAAGCTTTGTGTACAGGAAATGCCAGCATTTGTATGTAGTCGGTACTGTTATTTCCATTTGGATTATTGCTATTATTTGCTTTGTATAATTTTATTCAAGTAATATTCTTACGAATGTTTCATAGATTACTAGACATAAAAAATATTTGAGTTGTTATAATTTATCGTATAATAATCTACGAATTGTTTAGTACTCATAATACTTATATGTTATCTTTAGTGAGGATCCACTCATACCTATTTATTTATTTATTTATTTTGTGATACATAGGTAATAATGGATGGTAAAAACAATATAAGTCCTCTATGATCAACCCCATCTATCGAGGTATACAAATTTACAATTACATAAGAAAAAAATTATATTATATAAAAAGAAAAATCAGTAATGTCACATTTATAGTAAAAAAATATAATTATGGAACTTTATTACATTTATCTTCAAGGAAATCGTCAATTGAATAGTATGTTCTGTTTACTAGGTATTCATACAGTTTAGTTTTATATTTTTTTATGTCATCTATGTCTGTGAGGGATTTAGGTAATTTATTATATATCCTAGGTGCCATCCCTAAGACACTTTTAGTAAATAATGTCGTTCTATGTTGTTTTGAAATGATTTTGTGGTGTTGTCTATTATTTTTTAACGTGTTATATTTATTTAAATTATTTTTAACGAATAACGCCAGCTCAAAAATGTATAACGCAGGTAATGTCAATATGTTGTGTTTTTTGAATAGAGGCTTACAGCTGTCTACCGATTTAATATTGCAAGCTGCCCTTAGACATCTCTTTTGAGCTTTAAAAGCAAGGTTTCGGTCAGTAGAATTGCCCCAGAAAATTATACCATAGCGTATTGTTGAGGTTACATAAGCATGGTAAGCCAGTAGTACTGTATTTTGGTTAACTTCTTTATTTAGTTTATATAGTACAAATGCGTACTGACTTAATTTGCTACATATTTTGTTAATGTGTATTTTCCACGTCATTTTATTATCTATCCACAGTCCCAGAAATTTTGTCATGTTCGTTTCATCTATTTTTTGTCCAGCATATTGAATTTCAAGTTTATTACGTTCTATTCTTTGTTCAAATGTCATAATTTTAGTTTTTCCTATATTAATTTTTAAATTATTGTCAACTAACCATTGTATAATCTCTTTTATAGTGTTGTTTATTTCCGATTCAAACTTGTTTAGGTTCTTGGCACTGAATAGTATAGTACTATCATCCGCAAATAATACTATTGGATAGTTTATGACTTTAGGCATATCATTGATATATATTAAAAACAACAATGGTCCCAAAATACTACCTTGAGGAACGCCGAAATGAATATCCTTTTGTTCTGAATGATAGTACTTCATAATTTTTGTACGTCTACATATACAATTTACACATGTGATTTGTTTCCTGTGAGTTAGATATGATTTTATTAAATCTAGAGCACTACCTCTTATGCCACACTTGTATAATTTTTCTATGAGAATCGTATGATCTACATGGTCAAATGCCTTTGACATGTCCATGTATATTGCTGACACTGGATTTTTTCTATCCATATTTATAACAATATTTTCGACAAGGTCATGGATGGCCATATTAATATTTTTGTTTTTTCTGAAACCATATTGTTCATTGACAAAGATGCAATTTTTTTCACAAAAATTGTAGATAGTATTATAAATAATCCTCTCAAAAATCTTTGCAAATATTGTAATAAGAGCAATGGGCCTATAGTTGTTAACATCATATTTTTTCCCCGTTTTATAGATGGGTTTTATTAAAGATATTTTAGTTTGTCTGGAAATATATATATGCTCTATTGATAAATTTATTATATGACTTAAGACTGGAGCTATATTATCAGCAACCAGTTTTATAACGCTAGTGGCAATTCCATCGTAACCTGAACTATTCGTATTTTTTAAATTATTTATTATTTTAATAATGTCGTCTGGTACCGTAGGATGAATAAAAATTGAATTTATAATACTATTTATGTATGTCAAGTTTGATTTGGATTTTATTGTTTTGACGTGGTCAATATAATGGTTATTAAGGGCTTCAGCTATACTCTTAGGATTGGTTATAACTTTTCCATCTACTATTAATTGTGATATGCTTGACTCTGGGTAATTAATTTTTGTCTTGTTTATTATACTCCAAGCTGTCTTATTTTTATTATATGATTTTTGTATGTAGTAATTATTTTGCGCTTTTTTCGTCAACTTAATAATTTTACGTATTCTTTTTGAATAAATTTTAAATAATTGTCTATTTGTCTCATTTGGTGATATATATGCCAAAGCATATGTCTTTTTCGTTTGCAACATTTCCTTATTCCTTTTGATATCCAACTGGGACGTTTTACTGTCGACATTTTGATCATTTTATTTGGAAAACACAGGTCATAGAATAACTTAAACATATCAAAAAATTCATTAAAAGCCTCATTTGGTCTTTTATTGTTATATATGTCATTGAAATTTAAATTTTCAATGAAATATTTAAATTTTGCCATATTATCTTCATTATAATCTCGTTTTCTTATATACCAATGAGACAGTAAGCAAGTCTTTTTAACTGGACATTTTAGTATTTGCGCACTGTGATCAGAAATAGCTAGTTCGAGTATTTTGCCTTGACTTCCTTTAATATTATGCGCTATATTATCTATACAAGTACCGCTACTAATTCTAGTTGGTTTATTTATGCTTGTTCGTAGATTAAAACTTGTTAAGATATCAAGAAAACGCATCGATAAGTCATTTGTTTTTAAAATGTTAATATTAAAATCACCACACAATACTATTTTTTTATTATTTTTGTAACAAAATTTAGCTAACAATGCTTCTAACTTATTGAAAAAAATTTTTAATTTATTTGTATTATTATTGGGTACTCTATAGATACACAGCACAATCATATCATGTTCAGGCAGTTCGATAGCTGAACATTCTATAACATTTACAATACTAAATTCATTGGTGTCTATTGTAGTATATCGATGATGATTTTTAACTAAAATACATGTACCCCCGTTACGATATTCTCTGCAGAAATATGCAGCTAACCTATAGTTGGGAATATTAATTTGATCATAATCACCTTTTTTCATGTTATGTTCACAGATACATAATACATCAATTGACTCTTTCCTTCGAGATAATTCATCTAGATTCACATTTAATAAGTCCAATTTGGATATTAATCCATTAATATTTTGGTGCAGAATTAATAAGCTATTATACGAGAAAAAAATCATGGTTTCCATTATTTAGTTCATCATTATTATCTTCGTTATTCAAAATTTCATTTATCTCTACGTTATCTGTATTATCGTTAGTTATTTTAGAAACATTACTCTTAAATATAGTTACATTTGTCTGTACACTCTTTTCTGCAAATGATAAAACCTTTTTTTGTGTATGTTTAATCGCGTTAATATTTTGTTTCGAATAACGGTCTAATTTCATTTTATAGTCTAAAGCTAGAATTTCTTTTAAAATACATCTTGATAATTTAAGAGTAAAGAATTGTTTTTTAGGAATTGTTCTACTGTAATCCATATCAATATAAATGGTATTTCCAAATCTATTAGAGATATGTCTTAGTAAGTAATTTAGAGTTTGTTCGCAAAGGTTTTTGTTGTAAGGTATTTCTGGTATAATAATGTTAGTATTTTTCATTTTATTTAACCAACTGCATAGATAATTGCGAAAGTCAAAGGGGTTTTTATCATTGATGCCTCCTATAAAAATTATGTAGTCATTCATTGTTAGTTTTTCCATGTACGATTTATTAGTGTTCAATATATGTTCAATTCCTGCTCCAGGTTTCCAGAAGGAAGTAACGAGATAATTTGATCCCAAAAGTTCTTGTATGGTTTTTCTAAGATTTTTTCCTCGTTGATCTGCGATTATGAAAACCTTTCTCTTATTAGTCGTTGGTCTATTCTGGTAAGTCAAGTCTGAACTGTAGCTACATTTTTTATCATCTTTTTCATTGCTGCTTTTCTTTACTAATCTAGTAAATCCTTCACTTTGTTGTATTTCATTTTTCTTGTTTACTATTATTGTGTCATATTTATTCTTAGCTTGTCCTATTGTTATAGATGATGTCTGTTCTACTTCATTATTATAAATATTTATGTATTTTTTTTCTATGTTGTCATCCATAACATTTTTGTTCATGGATATGCATTCAGTATTTGTTACTTTGTCAACTATTACATTTTTACCCTGTTTTTGATTTAAATACCTATATAGTATGTATGAGACTAGATGGCGTTGTCGCATTTTTTCAAGATATATGTGGACTATAAGCTTATCAGTTACTTAAACTGCATAATATTTTCTAGACAATTCGAGATCTTAATATCTATTTATATCTATAGTAATAATATTATATTTTATAATATAAATTTAAATATTAAGATAATTCGTTATAAGTCTATGGCAATTCAATAATTATTTTTGCTCACAACGCAATAGTATCTAGTATACTCGCTAAAATATTAATTTAAATTGTGCTAATATTATATTTACATTAACTAAATATACCTATAAACAGCAAATGATCGCTAATAATGCGCTTAGGCAGCACAGTAAGCTCCATTGGTTACTATGTCCACTGTTGTGCCCCTTCCTCCTTCTGTACGGCCTACTGGTTGTGGTCTGCTCCTCAGGGTCATCTATCTCATTGTAGCTGAAGTAGTTGCTATCTATATTGTAGAATACTACACGATCGCCGATTGGCTGTATGGGCCTGAAGTTATGTGTGATCTTGCCATGAGCAGACTTTAACTCCCTGAAGGCTTCAATCTGCAATATTTTAGAAAGTTAAAAGTCGTAGGTTTTTTTATAGCAATTATATCAAAAATTCAAAGGGTCAGGCATAGTAGGATCAATTAATGTGAACGACCGAAAAAATGGAATTCCTTCAATGGTCGGTCACGCTATGTCGGATCATTAACGTATGTCCTTTTAAATTGATCTGGGCGTTTTCTTTGTATCATACATATGTATTTAAAAAATATTTATAAATGTTTATTAGTTGTCTAGTACCCATAGTAAAAACGCTATCGAAACCATAATCTCTGAACAATTTATAAATGCAGTGTACCATTATTATACTTTTTTAATAATCAAAATATTTGTTTATTCTAAATATGTATTGAAAATTAAGAGACATTTTATGCAAACGTTAAAGTTTCCAATTACTTGTTAAGGTTAAATTTCAGTTGTAGGTTAACAAGAATCTAACGCTTTCTATTTTTACCTAATAGTAAGCTGGTAGAAAATGCCATACTGCAATAAGTTCGCTGTTTGCACAAATTTCATTATGCAATAAAGAATAAATAAATAAATTTATATAATTGGAGATCGTTATAATATATAACAACCATCTCTTGTGTACAAACAATAAATGATGGCTGTTCTCTATATAACTAGCTCTGATTGAAATTAATTCAATTACACAAATAGGTATCAAACCTAAAATTCATTCTTGAAACCAGCTAACGACCGATTGCTATGTAATAATAGATATGTAAAAAACATAAGATATAAAAACAATGCATAACGAGAAGAACATGTTCATTTTTGTGTACCTACTAGTTTTTTATACGAAAACGTAGTGAGAAGTCTTAAGGTAGGTATGCTAATATATTAATAATATATTTTTTTTATAAAAATAGTTTCTGATTCCATCCACGTGGCCAGGATAAGTTGAGTGACTGCGATACAAACATCCATTTCCTTCTTTATGCTTAAAAATACGTGTATACTAAGTTTCATATCCACTGGTTGTATATGCGCCATGATATAACAAACAATTAGACTCATTTTCAAATTTATAATGTTAGTAAAGATATATTTGTGTGATTATTTCTTGTAATTGTTTGTGTTTAAAATAAGTTTATTACTGTAATCTTTTGGAGATAACAAAAAAGAATATATATCTGTCTATCTAAAGATAATATAGCTTTACATTTTTTTTATGTTGCTAAATACATTTTGATCTTTAAAATTGCTTCACTTTTAAATGATCCTTATTTGTATATTTATTTGTATTGGGTATTTTCCATTTATAATAATAATGGGGTCAATTCTGTGGTGCCATTTCTCTAAATTTATCTCTGAAATTAAAGTTTCAATTTAGTAATACAGCGAAATGTTTATTCTCATCATATCAGCCTTTAACTGTCCACTGCTGAACACAAGTCTCTCCCTTAGGGAGTAGCCACGCTTGGCAAGCGGATTGGCAACCGCCGTTAGACTTTGGAGATGTTTTAAGAGGCTGTTGCTGCCCATTCCTCGCCTTCCCTTAGTCGCCTCTTACGATACTTACGGGAAGAGAAGGCGGCCCATTCTATACCGAGACCATACGGCAAATGTTTATTCTAAAGAATATGAAATAAGAATAAATTTGAGTTAAAATTATTTCAAAAATTAGTTTTCATTTTCTATAAAACAGTAATTTCGCGAAACTTATAAATTAAAATACTAGGTGTACTAGAAATGGCTCCTCGGAATCACTCGCAATTGTATATTACTAAGTGTAATTTAAGACCATAAACTCTTTTTAGTTTGTAATTAGATGGCGCTGTGTAATTTAATCTATCTATATATTTATCCATATTTATTTTTTTAACTACGGAAGGGTAATAATTACCTGATCATGGGCCAACCTCACAGGTTGTTCAAAGTCCAGCCATATGACGACTTCAGAACACGGTGGAGTCGTCAAGGAACCACGATATGTGAAGTATCTCCTCAAGTCGTATGGCAGTATGTTGAGGAATGAGAATGGATGAGACATAATCACTGAGGTGTAAGGCTCGGTCACATTTGACAGTGCTAATGTTATGTCATCATACGCTGGGTGCTCGTGTCGATCCAACTAAAATAATAAAAAAAAAAAAAAACTTGAAACAAACGACAGACGTAGTAAGTTCATTGAGTTTCCGTTGTTTAATAAATGCAAATATACAAAAAAATATTCGCCGTTAAAAAAGATTTTACGTTAGATCATTTTTAGTTGGTGATCCTTATAAACACCTACTACATAGCGGGGCGACCTTAAATATGTTATAGGGAATCTAAGGGGGGGGGGGGGTCCTACATTCAATAATATACATAAACAATAGCGATGACCTTAGAACTTTTCTGTATAAAAGAGACATATTGCGTCATTAGTGTAATAAAATGAACTTTAATTTGTAGGATCAAAGTGTATACCTGTCATTGTAATGCCTATTCACATCGTAGAAAATTAAATAAATTGGCAGATAACAATCACAGTAATTTAATCAATTCTATGAAACATCGTGTAATGCATATAATTTAAGAAAAACCGGTCAAAACGATATTAACAGGATTCCGTAGCGATATTTCTAACTTAATTTCAATTTTATATAAATATGTCATAGTTTCTAAAATAATTTACAGAATTTCTAAAAGCAATTAATATCAAATAACACTGATAATTCTGTAAATAAAAATCACTTAATTTAAATCGGTATTTTCAAATGCTTTTTTTTTTACATTTTTAAGACGTTTATCTATCAGACATTAAAAATGAAATGAATACGACCTTTTTGTCTTCAAGGATAATTCATTTATTAAATCCTAATTCGTTTTTATGCATACATTTGATGTAAGGAAAATACAGCAAAAATGTACTATTTTATATCATTATTACAGAAGTTTCGATTCTATGGCATACAAACAAACAACAAGAAATACAGATATGACAAAATTATATGGTTTTTATTTTGCTATTTAACTATAAAACCCTAAAAAAATAGCCAGCATGAGTAATTTGATATTATTACATTATAATAATCCTGCGCAGCAATATAATAGAATTATACTACGCATTATAGATACTTGCACATAATCTACAACGCATAAACTGACTGACAGACGGAGATTCTTGAGTCAAGTATATTTTTTTGTATGTTATGCGATTTCTTAAAATTTAAATTATATTAACTTACTCCGTGTTAATCACATATTAATTTTGCTATATTTAATTATACATCAGACATTTTTGCACCGGAAAATCTTAAATTATTTGATCCTTTTTACAAATCAGCTCCCATGCGGTTTATACTAAATACTTTATTATTTTAAATTCAACTGAAATTATTATTTTTTTAAAAGTCCACTGAAATATATATACTACCTCGTAAAAAAAGGCGAGAACTGTTAAACCGTCGGGATGTTTCACTGCCTCGCTTGTACTTCTGTATTCTTCTTTATAAAACACCATATGCAGCTCCATAGGAAAACTGTAAAAACATGATAGTGATTAATATCAGGCGATATGCTTGCGTGTCATTTAATCTATCAAATCGAGGGCAATTTATAATGCCGTGTTCTCGGGGTCATTAATTTGGGATTTAGTCCACGGGTACACAACACATTTCTAACTTTTACTAATGGTGTGTTTTAAGTACTTGCTGACCCAACAAACGCTGTTTTGTTTTCTATTGCCACTTGCCGTGGACATTTGTTCATATCTGAATAAAAACTTTCCTATCTCTCATGTTGGAGCAAACAATGTATATTTACAAAATTTAAAATAAGTCGGTGGTAATGAGTGGTTTTAGAAATTAACATAAACGAACATCGTGACTCGGGAATTTAAAGACAATATATTTCCGTGTTCTTTTTAATTTATTCAGAGTGAAATTGAAATTATTACTTTCTGCAAAAAAATATATTTTAAAAAATACATAACTTATGTGTGTATATATTTATTAATAAATCCATTCGTTATTTGATATTAATAGGATGAAGGAACAAGACACCTATTTTGAATTTCATCGTGCACTCTTCTCAATGCTTGGCCAATTCTTTTAGCATCTGTTTGGGCATTTCAACACATAGTCATTGGCATTAAAACTTAATTTGGACGTTGCATATTTATCAGTCATTGTAGGCGTAGCACCTTTTAAAAAATCTGGAACTTTTAATAATGAATTGCGTTCCAATCGAGCCAAATAAAAAGAACTTGTAGGTATGTCAGTGTTTAATTATCAAATAATTTTTAAGCGATATGGTATAAACCTGTTAATTCACGATACTGACGCATTAATTGCGTTAATCGTTGAACTTCAGTAAACTTCGCGAAATTCAAATTAGCCTATTCAAAGCTTGCAACACTCGACCATAACCCATATATAGACATTGCATATCATCGACATGCTGTCAACAACAATTTACGAAACCTGACTACCCCACTTTAGGATCGGGACCATATTTTTTTATATATTTTGTAGATATCATCTTATATCAGCAAGTTACTAAATTTCTATTATTGTTTAATATACGCGTACGACTTGGAATAACTTACAAACTGCTAGCTCACTTTATCTAAAATGGCAACTGTCGCATAAATACATAAATTGCAACTTAGACATCGCTTAATATACTGTATAAAGCAAATATTTTGAAATTATGTGAACGTAATCGTATTGCCATATCTGACCCTTCAAATTATTGAAAGCACAGATAGTTGATGGCAGAAATACGAGTGGGATAAGGCAGAACCATGAACGACTTTGTACAGTCTCGCTTTTTTAGAAATTAAAAATATTAAGTTATAATTAAAAATATGTCATGACATCCAAAAAATATTTTTAGTTTTAACCATTTAGATGTTAAAATATACCTACTAGATTAATTAATATTACCTAGTCCATTACCTTAAGGTTGTCTTGAAAAGATTGCTCTCAGCAATAAGACCGCCTTACTGTACTTATACAACTGTATCGTTGTGTTTGTAAATTGCCTTGCTTATTTCCTATATTGTATAATGCAAATAAAGTATACTCATTCATTCATTCAAATATATTCTCCCAATAGCTCAATGCGCTGGATTATTAATCGTTTTATAGGTGCAGTTAAACATCATTAATCCATTGAATTTTAATTTTCAATATAGCGTAATGCTCATACCTTCTATGATTGATTTTGTCCTCAGATCCGAAGGTGTCGTTGTCTCCCCAATGGAAGTGCATCTGACTGAAAACATAGTCGCCATCTAGAGGACCTCCACGGACCCTTGGGTGTGGCTCGTTCTCTACCTCGATCAATACTGCATCCATATAAAAATTATAAAATTTTAGTTAAGTAAAATATAACCACAGTATAAAGAACGCCCAGCGAGCCAGCGATCCAATGCCTTTGGCATCTCTTGAACGATTACAATTCGGCACGATTTGCTCTTTCTAGATGTGCCCATTGGACGACTGGTAGGGTAGAGTTCTTTAGACTGATATATAATATCTATGACCCATTCCTATTTTATTTAGATGTATTCTTATATTTTTTATTAAATTATTGTAATAATATTTTGTATTTTTTTTATTTATATTAGTTACAAATAAGGAATTTTATCTGGTTCTACGATGCAAATTTAGATATATAGATAGAACATCCGAGTGTCAAAAATATGTCAAAATTTAGTCAGATAAACTACACTAGTGAAGGATTATTTAGTAAACATAAAAAAAAATATTTCTCTTTAAGCATTAATTTTAATCAATTTTATAATACTAAGGTATTTGAGTGGGCACATTATATTTAGATGCATCTGTCACACGAAATCGCTTTTATTATTAGTAAGAAACAATTTAGAGGTCATACCCAGGATCATACTAATAACGAGAAAATACAAACCTGTGTGTCCATTATTAGTGACATGTACTCCGTCTATGGAGTCATCGAAACCAATAAAGACTATCTCTGGCAAAGTAACCTGCTTCACACGAAGCACGTTGATGTTGATTGGGCTCTGATGTTTGCCGGTACATTCTCGATAACGTTCGCCCCAGTGCTGAGGTCCTGCGACAACGAGTTAGGTTATTTCTTTATCATCATAACAATAGGCTTTTCCTAGAACAATATTACAACCTAGATATATATATTTTTACGCTATAGCCAAACAGTTTATGTAGTATAAATGCTAGTTATCTTTGTATAGCCCTTTATCTTTACACGCCTTTGGTAGAACCGGGGTCACCCAGTGATATTATAAAATGTAAAAACGGTTCGGGCTCGGTGTGGTCTGACGTCGAACCTAGTGTAAGCGATATTTTTTTTTATGGATTATAATGGAATGGTAATCGCGTCCGCGCTAACGGTATATGCCGGTGCTCGTACCAATGAGGGATGATAGGTGCGAATGAAAAGGCAGGTCAGTTAGCCTATTATGATGAATATACCTAGAATTCAAGCCGATAGTTTACAGGGGTGATCAAATGGAGGTCGATCTGATGGTATATTGCTAACAATGGGTCTGATTCGCATTACTAACAATCCCTTCCCAGTGTGAGCAATATTTAAACTGATCATGATCTATTTGTTAGAAACTTACAGATATCGAACCCAATGGATTTGGTGGTCTCAAACACGATGTAGGCGATAGCGAAAATATTAGGTGTGATCGAAATCAAAATGAATGATGACTATTTCGACGTTAAGGGTTCCATTAAGGTAAAAACATTTTTCTATCGCATCTTTTTAGTTTATATATTTAAGGGTAATGGGTCCGTTAATTTATTATAAATGCTTATTGTCATAAGGCGCGGCGAGGGAATGCCATGTGGTTTTTGTGGTAGGAGATCCGGCAGTATTCACAATCCCTTCCCAGTGGGGTGTGTTTCTGCATGACACATTTTCCACATGTAAAAAAAAAAAGGGGTGCCAGGTATACTACGGCAGGTTAAAAAAAATACACGCTGGTTAAAAAAATACACTATAAACGTCTAGAGTCACAATCCAGAACATTTAGACAATTCAATACTTTTTCAAATTGGTTCAAACAAGAATTGCACTTTGATCAGGATTATTTATCAACTGTGTCTAATAAAACTATTTTATTAGACACAGTTGATAATTATTCATAATAATAAATAATAATTTTGATTTAAGTTAAAAAAATACGAACCATTACGGACGATCATTAAAAATATATTAATAGATTAAGTTTTTAAAAAAGATTAAATTCGTTACAATGGAATATTAAATGGTTGGCAGGAAAGTGATTATTATTGCTGCTGGTTAACCGCTATTACCGCACGTTAAGATTAAAGATGACTGGTCTTGGAAAGTGGCTACGAAATATGTTACTTTCTCATAAAGTGTAAATCTAGACAATGTAAGTTGGTGTAGGTATAAAATTATATACGGCTCAGGAAGTAAGTACCTATAGCGAAAGTAGGAATAAATATAAATCTTATGTAATAACTGTGTAGATATACGTTACCGGCAATCTATAAATATAATTCAAATATTCTATACAATATCTAAGCATAAAATAACTGGGGCTCCCAGGAATTGTACAGATTATCTATGTATATATATATAGCACTCAGGAATTGTATAGTATATTTGCAAGCTCACCGGCAATGTGTTCTTAGGTTATGTTAATTGTTATTTGAAGTATTCATAAAAAATATCAACTTTGTTTTTGACCAACGCTCAGCAATAGAATCATTATGCTTCGATATCCTATAATCCTTAAGTGACTTCTTTTCTGCTGTTTTTATTTCTTCTAATTGTTGTTTATACATTTGATCGTCAGTAATAAGGGTATTTTTTCTCTGTTGTCATCTCTTACACATATTACCGGCTGAGTATGCGGTATTTTTATTTATTAAACATTGATATAAAAATAATTAGGTAGATAGACACAATGTTTTATATAGAATAGGTAGTTCATTATTTCGGTATAGAAAAGGTAGGTGATGATTATAAAATCATGAAATCAAAATAACTTTTTCAGCATCTCGATCCTTCACAGTTGGTTATGCCAAAACTAAGAATATAGAAATTCTAATTTAAACCTATTTATCTTAGAGCTACGTATTTAGATTTACCATCTTAAGTAAGTACCTACTTACCTATTACACCGTCGTATCCGAAATCTTCACCTCGCGTTAGTTCAGGAACTGTAACAAATTGCATTGTATAATCAATGATACAATTTCAAGTTTAGCGATTTATTTCAGTAAGTATATATATATACATGATACAGGCGAATAAAGATACTAGATGTCTATTAGCCCAACTTAACTGAATGAATGATATACCTACAGTTTGACCTCTCAATTGTATGTAGTTATTTACAATATAGAATATTTTTTAATTATTATTATAATCACGTGAATGAAGCTGCATGCACACTAATAGCATTAGAAAGTGAATGCAAATAAAAAGACATTCCAAACAAGTACATATAGCTAGTACCAAAGCAATAACATTACTTAAGTAGAGCCTATCTATTTCCTAAGCATTACAAGTATAAACTTCCACAGTAATGCGCATGCGCCCGCTCATCGCAACTAATGACTGAACCCGTTTTAGATAGTACTTTTCTATGTAGATAATTTTGTTCAAATCATTGTAGTTTGCTTTTAGTTACAAAGTTTTGTAAATTTTAAAATACGTAAACACTGAGACATTCTTATATGTAGTTGTACTTAATTGGTACCTAATGATTTCTCCAAACGAATAAAAGGAAAGCTTAAAAAAAATTGTAGATATGTACCTAATGCTTACTTAATAACAATTACGGAAACAGTTCAAAGATAGATATACTCGTGATCATTGTACAATCTACATGCGAATAGAATGTACCTTTGTATTCAGACTTAACACCGGAACCTAGTCATTATATTATCAAATGATCCACATGGAAGTCAACACTGAATAACTCGTTAGGTATATCTGCCTATTCGAACCATATTCCAATTCCGTGTTATATCCGCAATGATTTTGCTATTTATTATAACAGTTGCATTATTTATTAATAGACTATTAAATATCCAAGTAAGATACATAAATCCAAGTGTATGTATAATTATACTAGACTTAATTATAAGTAAAGTATTGAATAAATTTAAATTATTTCCGATTAGTATTATAATGATACTTTAACGAAACCTGACTTCTACAATAGGTATAAATAATAGATTAATTACCTATTACATATTAATTAAATAATACTTTATTGTTCTATTAAAAGTTTGTGTATAATATAAATACTAAATTCAACTTTTACATCTCTTCAATAGTAGCGGTAGCTAAAAAAAATTCTCTATATGTATTGCAGTTTCCAAGTCGCATCTTTATACTTAATTGTGTTTACTATTTTATCGTAATTATATGTTATTTAAACCGGGATATTTTAAGGCAACGGCTATTACTTTTATTAGTTGGACCATTACTTTGCCATTCCGAAATTGTATATGATAATCAGGTATTGTATATGATATCTCTATCTCTCTTTCGACTAATTGTAGCAAAACACACTACTTACGTAGTTATAATTAGGTTTATTGGAAGTGTAACGTTTTATGAATAACGCACCGCATTACTTTACCAATTATCTGCGCCGTTGACGGCCTTTAAATGTCCATCAGAATCGTTGAAATATTCAGCAGTGGACAATGCATGGCTAAAATGATGGTGATTGAAATGTTTGGCGAGAATCGTAGCTTCATTTACATTGATATACATGTACTGTAAGTACTCATAACTATGTATGTATTACCTAATAAGGTTACAAGATTCATGTTCACCCTGGGGTACAAATGGTGCTTGATGCTCAAGTGCAATATACAAGGTTTTCTTTAAGTTTTCTTAAGTTCTTATGGGAAGCATATTCAGTGTATATCGTCCTTAAAAACCATTGTGGTTAATTCCTGGCGAATTAATTATGATGGTCGAACTAACTTGATCTTTATCTACCATCACTCACTAGTAACCTACCAGTGTATATCGATAGCATAAGTAGTAGGATAGCATCCATTATTATTCCAATAAAAAATTCAAGGAACTATATATATATATATATATATATTATAAGGCATAATTAGCACACAATATTTTTTATTCGCAAAAAATAATTAAAATCCGTTAGTTTATTTCATATTCCCAATTGGCACATATATCGTTTAACACAATTACATTTCAAATATTCTCTTTTTTTAAACAGGCTGTGAGACTACGAACATGACCTTTAGTAGAAATTATTGTTTCGCATCTTCAAAGATTCAATGTAATATTGTTCTCGTTCATATTTCAACCAAGAACAATTCAGACTAATTTGGATTTTAGTACACATAAACACTTAAGTATAATTTTGTTTATCCGTAAACACGCTTACTTCGTTTAGTCATCGTCACATTGTATTTTTAAATTTAAATGAGCAAAATACATAAATATCTGCAAATTATTTCACCTTGAGTGCGATGTTTAACTTCTTACGGCTCAAGGCTTTCATTAATCTTTTTTTTTATTTGGTAGGTTTATCTGGTGCCGGAGATGGCACTACACCTATTAATATAGAGCCGTTGTCACCGTCATTAACAGTAGTTATTTATATAGACTATTACTATTGCAACTGTATCTTACCTCAGAATTTCATATCAAAAGTAGGTTAAATGTACAAAATTAATATATGTTTATAGGTATGAAACATTTTTATAACCGCTGAATAACTTTTAGTAAATGTTTATTTTGTATAAACCAATCAGCTGTCATTCCATGGTGATGTACATGTAGATTATTTCTACTCGTAATCACGAAAAATATAACATTTTATTTTTGTATTAAACTACTGAGAAAGTTAAATTGATACTGAAAATAATCGAGAGATAAAGCAACTTCATGATATCTCAGTTTAAAATCTGTGACTATGAAATATTAAATGTATGGTCTTGTTTCAGAGAATGTATTAAGTATCATTGCCCTTTATACCGAAAAAAAAAGTAAAACGATGGTAAATACTCATACAGTACAAGAATAAGAAATATGTAACTACACTAGTGACTCTACCATTGCATGTCATGTTTTATTAGAAAAATAATTATTTCAAAAGCGTTTAGTGTGTAACTCAATTTACTTTCATCCAAGTATCTAAGTATATTATCCACTTAGGTATATACCAATTTTTTTTTTAACTAGTGTTTTTTTACGCATACTACCTGCGGATAAATTGTTACGCAAATTTTATTCGCTATTAGTAACAAAACCAAATAAAATGGTTTAAATATAGTTATCGTAATATTTAGAGTTTACAAATATGTAGTCGCTTAAAACGAACGCATATAATTGTTCATGGCTATTTAAGTACGAATACCGTAAAGTTTCAAGAATTTGTTGTCTTTGGTAAATGTATTGATGCATTCAAACCGTATCGTAACAGCAACTGGTGCGTGGCAAGTTCATTGATAAAAATAATTATATTGGATAGGTAGGACATTCGATTTTTGTTGACCTCTTATTCCCCGCCAATGTTGCAGTGCGTTTTTACACGTTGCGATAGCAAGATCATTGTTAGATTTTTTTGCTCGCCACAAACTTTAAATATTACTTGCCTATTCAATAACCGTTATAAATTAAATTTCCATCCTTACCCAATAATGGTAAAGGTGGTATTTTGATTATTCCAAGTTATTACTATTATACGAGATTGTTGGTCTCAACATTGGATGGAAAGTTTTTTTTTTTTTTAATAATTTGCAGTTGTATGGCTGCTTAAAAATGTACTACAACCCGCCTGCCAAGCAGCCTGGAAACTGACAATACCTCTCTATATATGGGAGACCTATGTTCAACGGAAGAAATTTAACGGTTGATATGATGATGACATATATATATATAAAGTCCATATATATATATATATATATATATATATATATATATATATATATATATATATATATATATATATATATATATATATATATATATATATAAAATATTAGTCCATTTTTTACAGAGTTCGCTTACGTAGTCATATACGTGTTCGGTTTGTAATATACCTATTATTTATAAAAGCGACGCAGTTTCAATTCTTTTCTCATGCGAAAATGTAATACTGTAAATTAATACAAAATATTCATGACCATTTACTTACTAAACTATAAAAACATCTAAGCATCACGGGTTTCTGTCTCGGTTGACTTACCATGTACGGTTCGTCTGGTTAGGTTACCATTTTCCATCATATGGGTCATCAGCTTGTTTGTCATTCTCAGTTGCATAAAAAAGTAAACTATAGTATTATAAAAATACTAGCAAATGTCCACGACTTTGTCCGTGTTTTAGTATGTATCGATGTATGTGACTTACCATGTCTCTCTCTCTTCCATCATATGGGTCATCAGCTCTTGGCAGAGTGTACTAGCAAATGTCCACGACTGTCCGTGTTTTAGTATGTACTGTATGTACCTACTTATATATTATATCTGGGAATACTGGACCAAAATTAACAAATGGCGTGTTATTCTTACTCTTTGTTTAGTAAGTTGTGTACTAAGGTTGTGAGAGTTAAAAAACTATATTAACTTATACTACATAAGTTACTATAGTTTTTAAACTATCTCATGGGAACTCTTTTATTTTCCATGATCTATTTAAAATATTGATCGGGGATGTAAGGTACTAATATGCAAAATTTCATTCAAATCGATTCAACAATTCCGGAGATAAGCCCGTACAAACAGACAGACAGAAACAAAACATTTGAAAAAAATCTGGATGTATTCTATTTCATTTCTAACATCTCCCTGATTCAGTTTTAGCATTTTTTTCTATGTATAAACATTTGACCTCTAAAGTTTTATTATATGTATAAATTTATTTATTTATATTACATATACTTACGCACATTAAACGATGATGCCATTTCGCAATGCCTACTTTCCCCTGATGTCAATGTTTTCACTGGGCGACGCTAGAGAGTACACAATGCTGTTTTATTGTCTTTTAGTTGTAATGTAATGTCTTATTTACTGGAGATATGAGTACGGACAGCGGACACAAAGAACAATTGTCTTGTAATAGATTTGACTCGCTGTGAAACGCTAAAGAATTAACTATAGGTACATTGTTTATAATTTGTTAATTGCCACCGAAACTGTGAAGGCTTTGAAGATTTTAT